GCAATCAGCAACAGGATGCGCACGAGTTTCTAATGTGCGTCCTCAATTGTATACGCGAAACGAATCAGTCGCTGATAAAGGCCATTGGCGACTGTCCAGAAGTCATTGCGAATGGGTGAGTTGAGCTGCAGGTCACATTGAATACTGACTAATTGCTTTTATTTATGCAGCTACATCGCCAATCCAGATGATACGGACACGGTTGATGCACTGGACCGCACGGATGTGGGCAATCATGCGCTGATGGGCGCCTCTGGCAATGGCTCGATAGCAACTAGTCAAACTCAAAGTACCACGACAACAAAAACATCATTTTTCTCACGCAAATCAAAGAGAAAAGACGAAGTCAAAGCCTCGAAAGCGACACGATTGCAGTCACCGCTTAAGGATAATAGTCCAACCACAGCCGGCGGTGGCGTGGCAAGCACACATGCCGCCTCCAATAGTCTTTTCTATTTGAATACAGTCGATCTCAGCGGCGCCAGCGCTGCGGCCACAGCTTCAGTTGCATCGAACGCACCAGCAAAATATTCCAGTGATGATGAAATTAATACGGCTAGTCTGCTTAAGGATAAAATGCGCCTAGAGGAGCGCATACGTGAGCTGAATCTAAACTTTTTCAGCTCCGACTTTGAGGGCATCGTGGTGCTGACCACCAAATGTCTGAGCTGTGAGACAATTACACGTCAGAAGCAGGGCATGCTCGATATTTCAGTACCTGTGCCGATTTCGGGTTATGACAATGCCGAATTGCAGGAAAAACCCAGCGCCTATATACAGGTAAGTCCAGCGCCCAGCTGAGCTGTCAACTTATGATTAATTTACCATTGTTTTCTTGCAGAACTCATGCATAACACGTGAATATTTTCGCGGCGATAATAAATACAGCTGCAATCAGTGTACGGGCTACACTGAGGCCATACGCTCCATATCGTACGAGGTGCTGCCGCGTCTATTGGTCATCCAGCTGAATCGCTTTTCGGGCGGCATGGAGAAGGTTAGCACATATGTGCCCACCACATTTACGCTGCCCTGCTTCTGCGCCAAGTGCTGTGAGCTGAGCGATGCCAACAAGCTGCATGTGTATAAGCTGTACAGCGTTATCACGCATGTGGGCGCCACGTTAACCGTGGGTCATTATATAGCATACACCTGCTTTCTGGATTTGGCCAGTGATTATGTCAACTGTCCCAAGGATCGTCGCAATGCAACAACTAGCGCACAGCAACAGCAATCAGCGGCGACAGCGGCAGCAGGCAATGAGAATGCGGCGCCGAGCAATAATGGCAGCAGCAGCATTGTCAGCACGCCGGTCGTCTCAGCGGCCGCCTCAGTGTTGGCCTCGTCGGGCACCAGCCTGATAAAGAAAATGAAATTTGGACGCAGTAAGGCATCCAGCAGCGGGGACATGAGCAAAAATGTGAAGCAACTAAATGGATTGACCAGCAAGACGATCACCAATGGAATTGGCAAGCTCAGCATGAACACAACGTGCCATGGCGTCAACTGTTGCGCCATGCGCTTGTGCTGCACCCAACAACCCAGCGCCGCGGGCAGCAATAGCGCCAGCAGCAGTGATTTTAGCGAGGAATCCCTGCAGAACGGCAGCAACAGCAATCTCAGCTATGGCAGCGTGGCCAACAATTGTGCGCCATATCCCACGGGCTATGGCAGCACGGGACGCGGAGGTGTCAAAGCCAACTATGCTCAGAGCAGCAGCGAACCCATTTGGTATATGTGCGACGATGATAAGATCAAGGCGATGACACAGCGCGAATTCGAGGAGCTGCTGTCGCCGACGCGCAAAATCACAATAACACCATATTTGCTGTTCTATGCACGCTTCGATCTACAGCAGCCGGCAAAGTCGTGCGCATCGACGACGCCAACACCACCACCGGCGATGTCGTCAGCAGCAGCAGCAGCAGCAGCAGCAGGAGCAGGAGCATCGGCGCAGCCACCACAGAGCTCCTGGTCGAATGATAGCCTGCAAGGTGGCTTGCACAAGATTTGAAAGGTTTTTGCAACGCTGCGGCTGGCCATCAAATGTAAAACGGATGTGTCTGAAGGCAGCATTAAGTAAGCAACTATATGCATAGAGAGCAGCTATATAGGAACTTACATTAATACACACCCACACACACACACATCTATATATATATATATATATGCAAACATATACATACGTCTCTTAGTTTAGGTCACACAAGTGTGCGCATAAGTTGAAGCAGAAGTCTGTTTGTTAAACAATGTACACGTTTAAGCTCTATCGTTTATCTACATGCATAAAGGAAACAAAAAGGAAACTACATTTAATAGCTCTTATATACGAAAAGAAAATTGTTTAAAACTAAATAACCTTATCGACTGAAGCCAGCAAAAACCATGTAGGCTAGTGGTCCAGTTAAAGCCTAAAGGCTAACAAAGATTCAATTCATTTCGACTTATGGCATTTAGAATGCAACTTCGCGTTCAGTTTGAGAAAGTTGTACTTTTAATTTTTTTTTCCCTATATTTTATTTTAATTTTATTTATGTGTTTTGCATTAAAAATTGTTGCTATTATTTTCTATGACATTAAACAAATGCAACATAACAACTGCATTTTATATTCATTTGTTAAAAAAAAGAAAACTAAATTTAAAAACAGATCACAGCTAAAATTGTAAACACGAATTTAACACGTTAAGAACGCTATTCAAATATTGTTTTGCGCCTAAATATAAAAAAAAAACAAACACACACACACACACACACAATTTCGATAAGCAGTTTGTAAATTAACATAAACAACAAAAGCTCAACTCAATATTTACTAAGAAGAAAAATAATAAACATTTTTGGCTATAGCTAATAATTCAGTTTTTTGCATAATTTTCATATTGAAATAAGCTTAAAGGCAGTTTAAAGTAACAAAACATTTTTCGTAATTCAAACAGTAGTTAAAGATTTTGTTCTACATTTACATCAACAAATACATATATACGTACATATTTAAAGAATGGGATATCAATGCATCTGGACATAATATAAATAAAGATATAGGCCCGTGCATACATATATCAAGTGTTAAATAGTTGTTACAATTTAATGCAATACCAATAAAAAGCCTTTTCAACAAGGAAATTGAGAATGACAACAACAACAACAACAACACATTAAAGAAGAAGCAGAAGAACAACAAACACACACACACACACACACACACGCTCACAAAAGTGCATGTAATTAAAAATCAATCAGAGAATTGTTATAAAATTGAATAAAATAGTTTATATTGATGTTTTTCATATGACGAAACTAGACGAGAAGGAAAAATAAAATAGCAACAATAAAAGCCACACACACAACTTCATGCATGTAAACACACACACACACACACACACACACACACATACACGTACGCTAATTGTAATAAATCAAAATAAAAAAAAAAACAGTTTAAAAATAATAAATACTTTATGCAATCAGTTTAGCTTTTTAGTTAACAATTTAGTTTCTTGCTTTTCAGGAGCGCTGCTTTAGTGATATTAACATTTACAGACACACACACACACACACACACACACACTGTATACATATTTATTTAGCTTGTAATTATATTTGTAATTTATAAAATTAACAATAATTCCAATGAAAACAAAAGGAAACAAAAAAATCTTTAAAGAGCAACAATTCAACTTGACACAGTTGTGTTTAAGTAGCGCCGTTTGATTCCAATTACGATTATTATTATGATTAATTATGATTATTATTGATTAGCATTAAAGAACATGCTTGACTAAATATACGAAATATACAACATACTACATAAGTATATGTGTGCATCTCAATAATGATCGCTCGCTCTTGTGCAAAAAAAAGTTTCCCAAGTTCAGCGCATTAAAAAATTTCAAATTTCCCTTTTGACTTTGTTTATACCCCTTAAAATCTATTAAAAGCGGGTCAAATGGGTGTACTGTTTTTGTCAAAAGCAGAAGAAAGCAGCGTCGACCAGATAATGCATATATATTCTTGGTTAGGATGTCTTGCCGATCCGATCTATCCATGTCCGTCTGTTGCTCTCGAAAAGGACAAAAGCTTTTAAATTGAAATAGGCAATAAATATTCTCCTATACCAAATGCAGCACAGATATATATTAGTTCTCCGATTATCTTTATCTTATCTTATCTTTTTATCCTTATATCGGTAAAATTCGGGTTTAAGGCATTCCTTTCTTACAGCATAACTCGAGAATTATAAGAGCTAGATACACCAAACTTGGAATGTAGACATATTTAATTCCAAAGATTACCAGCAAAATTGAGAAACTAATTTTTAATGTTGGATCCTTGTGATTTGGGCTCTGAAAGTTTCATAAGAATTGATTTATATAAGTAAAAAAGAAGTTTTGAATAAATGTGGAGGGTATCCCATAGTCAGGCATCTGTGCTCAAGAGGTTTTTGCATGCATCTAGTATAAAGAAGCATGTCGTGTGTTTCTAAGATCTAAAAAGCAAACTCTGACTAAACTGTAAACCCTATACCGGACTATTCCAAAATTCTACACATACACCCATCGATTTCGCAGATCAAGGCAGCTAGATACAGCAAATCAAGGAAGCTAGATACAGATACATATTAAGATACAGATACAGATATAGATACAGATCAAGAAAGCTAGATACAGCAAAATTTGGTATGCATGCGCTTGTATAGATTATACATAATATACCATATTATTTTCCCTAACTAAATTTGAATTCCATTAAGATTGACTTAAATGGAACTTTTCTATTAAGCAGACTCTATTTCTAATTGTTTTTACTTTAAAAAAAGTATTTTGGAATTATAAAAAGATTATTAGTTAACTAGTTAAGGCTAGTGCTTGACTAGAAGATATCCTTTCAAAAATTTAAATGTCCTTGATCTGAAAATAATTTTCCAGCAAATACTCAGATCTGCAATCGAAGCCGAAAAAGTGAATATATTAATTCCCATTACAAGAAAATGCCCCAAAATATGTTTAATATAATTTATTTGGAACTTTTTGAATTCAGAGAGACTTCAATGAGCTGATGAGGGCTGGCGGAACTAATTATATTTTAATTAAGGATATGCGTGTAATTAAACGCCTTTAATATTGTTTTTTTTCTATTGTATTTTAGTTCTGGAGCACTTTTCGTATGGAGGTGGAAACCTGCTGATAGTTGCGTTCCTTCCATTGGACATTGGTGAGCATCGTCTCCAAGGTCTGCTGTGTGGCCTGTTCCAGGCCCTTCAGCGAGGCTTTGTGTTCGGCTACGAACCTCTTGAAGTCATCGAAATCGCTTTGCAGGAATGTCTGCTCCGAAATTGGTGGCAACAGGCGCGACATGTCCTTGATAATGGGATGATAGCTGTGGCAACATTTTAGTTAATAAATATGTATAATAACAAATAAAAACAAGTAAGAGGCTCTAGTCGGGTGCTCCCGACTAGGGGATACCCTGAACCCTCTTCTGCCAACAGGCGATAGGTATAAAATGATAGAAGATACTTGATATATATACGTATACTATTCTAGAAGCTACATGTCAAGTTTGGTGACTCTAGCTCATATTATTTGCCGAAATCGATTTTTATCGATTACTTGGAAACGGGGCAAGTTATCGAACATCGGAAACAAACTCGATCTGCGCGGGCACTAGGAGAACCTACAGCTAAAATTTTAAGTCTCTAGCTCTTATAGGTTCTGAGATCCTTGCGTTTATACATACGAAAGGACGGACGAACGGACGGACAGACAGGCGGACATGGCTAGATCGACTCGGCTGTTGATGCTGATCAAGAATATATATACTTTATGGGATCGGAGAAGCTTCCTTCTGCCTGTTACATACATTTGCACAAATACATAATACCCTGTTTACACATTTTCAATGGGTTCAGGGTATAATTACTCACAATTTGTAGATAAAGTCGACATTATTAATAAAGTAGTCCCTGGCCAAATGGAAGCCGATCTCGTTGTATGCCACCGCCTGGAATGCCCACATCGAGTCCTGTTTGCGTATGCCCTCCTTCGGTTCAAAGGTCAAGGCCAGATAACGCTGCAACAGCCAGACCTCACGCGTGCAGCCCAACGAGAACAACATCGTCCGCTTCTCGGCGGCCACGTTCGAGTTCTTGTAGCGCGTCCACAGGAATTGCCAGTCGGCATCGTTGCCATGTCGTATCGCGGTGCAGTAAACCGTTTGACGCAAATTTATTGGCACCGGATTCTTTTTATCCGGCTCCTTTTCGCCGAGCCAGGCGCGATAGTAGGCCTGTGCCACCGGCACACAGTCGGACACCAGATACTGGCACGCCCAGTTGCCCACCATGGTCTTGAGCAGCACCTGGTCCTGGCGCTCGATCTTGCCGAAGGTGTCGTTCAACCCATTCATATGCAGGTAAATGGGCTCTATTAGTTTTTGCAGATAACGCTGTGAAGAAACGTAACCAGAATGTGAATATAAAAAGTGGCTCGCGTAGCTTTTGATCGGAGTTCGAAATGGATTTTTGTGGCTTGCTATGCTAGTGGACTTACGAAAAAAAACAACTTTTATTTTATGGTTTTGTTTCCGCATAGTGTTTGCAAATAAAAATCAGAATGAGAGCTGTGGATTATGTAGGCTGTGGGTGGGTTCAAATATAGAGCCCTGCATCGGTTGATTCGAATAACGATCTAAACTGAGTTCGAAGAAATGATTCATACGAACGACGTGCGACCTGCTCGAGTCAGCTCGAACATGTTCGAGCCAATACACGCATGCATAGGATCACGACCCAACTTGTCTGCTTGCAACTCGAACAGCTCGAGCCAAACAAGTTTGCGCCTCGACTCGCTCGAACAGCTCGATCCAAACAGGTTTGAGTCTCGACTCGCTCGACCGAAATCTTTGTTCGAGTATCCGCAAAACGATTCGCTTGACACGATGCAGAGCTCTAGCTGAAAATGGATCACACTCAACTAACCTTGAAGAATTCAAAGTTGGGCGTTTGTCTGATGATATTCTTCATGCGCTTCAAGTTCTCGAAGGCCGATTTCCAGGGCAAATACTCGCGTTCACGCCTCAAATAGTCAATCAATTCCATGGCAATACCATAGTCCTGTTCGCCCGTCCAGGCCAGATACAGTGCATCGTCTATTAGCTGGGCACGATTAATCACATGAATGCGCTCAAAGTCGCCGTTGGTCAGCGTCTCGATCAGCAGCTTCCAGTTGTGCTCATCGTAGTTCACCTTGTACAGCGTCGACAGTTGTGTATTGAATATGATCCACTGATCCTTGCCGGGCAGATCATTTATCTTCGTGGGCAGCATTTCGCCACCGCTGCCGCATTCCATCCATGCCTTTGGCGCCGTGTTCTTAAAGTCCTGCTCCGCTTGGGTCGTATAGCTCAGCGGCACCCACCAGCAAAACTCACGCTGATCCCGCGAAATCTGAGTGTTTAGCAAATAACGCTCCTGCAACAGCTGGGCGCTGCCATCCAAATAGTTGCGGGTTATGTTGATGATGGGGTAACTGTTGGAATTTAAGAGAATATAATATTCAAATATATATTCCGGGCACAAAAAAATATATATATAAATTGTTAAGAACAAAGTTAAATAGTTGGGAAAATACCTAAGATATAAAAATAATTGATATAATTAGGAATAATCATCAGATATAAAAATATATATATATAATTGGGAATAATCCTCAGAGAAGTAGATTATTATATCTGTAATAATAATATTATCATTATACGTGACTAACGAGCGGGTTATGGCAGGAGAAGTGACGCCTTATGGCCGTTACCAGGCAAAGCCGGGTGATATATGATCTTATATAATATATAAATATAACTGGTGCAAATTAAGTCCGATCATGGAAGGATATGCCTTTTTTAACTCATGAAACTCTAAAGAATAAACTAAAATTTCTGATATCCAAATTGAGCCCATTTTCGCAAAAACTCGGATCCCATGATATTTTAAGCAAATTTGATCAATATTTAGAATTTAATTGTTTGAATACCTATCTTTAGATATATTATTTAAGGATGTGACTTTATTTATCCGAGATATTACATTATTTAAAAAAATGTATATATTAAACAAAGTTCGAATTTGGGGAAATATAACTTTTTGAACATCTGAAACCTAACAGATTTTTTATCTCAAGCTTTATGGATTCAAATACAAATTTGATATCAAAATTTAACCCATTTAAACAACAATAATGAAAATTTTGAGTTTAATTTAATTTTTCTTGTCTGGGTATATATTTGTTAAAGAGCTGTGTAGGTCTTTGTCTGTATTTAGTTTTAGAAGTCGGGAGGAGAATTCTCCAAAGTTAAATGTTGAGTTTTTTGAATAGCTGTCGATACTTACGCACCAGAAGAATTATATTATTTGAAGACCAGATAAATTTTACAGGTAGTATTCCAATAAAACCATTTTCTAACGGCTTTAAATGACTTTAAGGAGGATAAATGAAATCGGATTTTGGATAGAAACTCGACTCTTCAAAAAAGTCCGAAGTTCGAGAAATAACTCTTTATATAAAGTCCCTCAGAAATTCTTTAGAATTTTTTTTTGATTATATCATAATGTCAAATTATATATATAATTGTTTAAATCGTATCCGACTATATCATTATCTTCAAAAATAGAACCCTTACTTTAAAGATATATAAGATATGTAGAGATATTAAGATATATAATGGCACTCACCCCGTTTGCAGCGTCCATGAGTCCATGATGCGCTTGATGTCATAGTCGTCGGGCAGCACCCGGAATTTGTGTGCCGCCTCGGTGAGCGACTCCCAGAGATTATCCTGCTCGGCATTGCCGTAGGAGAACTTGCGCAGATAGTTTTGTATGCCCGCACGGAAGGATTCTTCGCCCATGAACAGATGCATCATGCGCAGCACCGTGGAGCCCTTCTGATATGAGATCTGATCGAAGCTCTCCGAGATCTCGCTGACCACCTCGATGGGTCGCGATATGGGATGGCTGCTCTGTAGGGCATCTTTGCGGAAGATGGTCAGCAGATTGTTGAGCGACTCCTGCTCCAAGGCGCGCCACTCGGGATTGATGTTCTCGACACCGAGGCTAGCCACATATGTGGCAAATCCCTCGTTCAGCCAGAGATCCGTCCACCATTTCATTGTCACCAGATTGCCAAACCATTGATGGGCCAGCTCATGGGCAACGATAGAGGCGACGCGCTGCTTGTCCGCCAGCGACGAGTGATTCGCCGAATAGAGCAATGCGATTTCTCTGTAGGTGACCAGGCCCCAGTTCTCCATGGCGCCGGCACTGAAATCGGGTATGGCAATCTGATCGATTTTGGGTAATGGATACTTAATGCCAAACAGCTGCTCATAGTACTGCAGCACTTTGGGTCCAAAGTCGGCCGCATAGTCGCACTGCTCGATGGCATTCGGACGCGCCCAGGTGCGGAAGAGTGTGCTATTTGGCAGCGTCGACGGCTTGTGGGCAAAATCGTTCACCGAATAGGCAACCAAATAGGTGGACATCGGCACCGACTCCTTGAACTCGCACCAAATGTAGTCCTTAATATTCTCGCTGCAAATTGTATCACAGTTCAATACAATTTATATCGCCTAACTGGTAAACTGGTCTTACTGTGGCTTGATCTCCTTAACGGGCATGTTGCTCAGGCCGGTCATCCGCTTGTGGTAGCCCAATGTGACCACAAATGGCGCCTTGTAATCGGGCTCATCGAAGCAGGGGAAGGCCAAGCGCGCAGAGGCCGGCTCAAACTGTGTAATGGATAGCCAGCTGCGTTTTGCATAAGGTATAACAAATTATTTTAGAAATTGTGTTTAATTTAAAAAAAAAAAATATTTCATCAATTTATATCATAATTTAATAATTGTCAAAGCAAGACAGATTTTAAATAAAATGGTTATCATGCCAAACATAAAAAAAAAAATTATATCATATTGTTATTTATTTATTTTTGCAATATATTTTATATAAAAAATAATTTGGAATATATTTTATATAAAAAATAATTTGGAATATATTTTATTTAAAAAATAATTTGGAATATATTTTATTTAAAAAATAATTTGGAATATATTTTATATAAAAAATAATTTGGAATTTATTTTATATAAAAAATAATTTGGAATCCATTTTTTCTTAACTAATTTTTTTTCTTAATTTATTTTTATTGAAATTAATATATTTTTTTTTTAATTTTTATATATTTAAACTAAAATTTTTCAAGTTATTATCCGGTTTTTATTTTTAAGTAAATTGAAATTTTGTTATTTATTTATTATAGAAATAAATTGTTTACTATTTATTTTTTATTAAGACTATATTTTTTGTAATGTATTTTAAAATGAAAAAAAAAAGTTTCATGCAAAAATTAATTTTTTGAAATTTATTTTCTATTGGAAAAACATTTTTCATATTTTATTTTGTTTTGAAATTATTTTTTTAAATATTTTATAAATGTATTTAACAAAATGATTATGAAAATGCCTTATGAAAATCGGATGAGATTTGATCGAATGGGAAATTTTGACTTATGTCTATATAGGATATTTGAGGGTACAATTTGTACTTGAATTTTGACCAAGAATAATGTTTCCAGATTTAGATGCCAATTTGATCTAGAGGCCAAACCAAGGACAAAAATCCAAACCTTGTGAAAATCGGTTGAGTTTTTACCGAATTATGGGGTGGGATATTCCGACCTATGTCTAAATAGGATAGTAGCGGGTTTAAGCTAAATTCTCTCAAAGATCTTTTAAAATGAGTTTGAGGCCGATCGGATGGTAAACAAAAAAAACTTTCATACAACTGATTTCATTGATTTGATAAAGGAAAATATCAATAAATATCATGTTAATTTTCTACGATTTTCCCTGGGAACTTTTTTATGGAATATATAGGGAAATTTATTAATTTTAATTTATGCAGAGTTCAGGTCATTTTTGTCGATCTCTTAACATATTCCAATCGAACTATCTAGGCTAAGAAAGAGTATTTTGTGAAATAAAATTTTTGGACGAGTTCCGACTTTACTTTGCGAGTTTGATTCCACAAATTTAAGCGAAATTCTCCTCAAATTTCACTTTAAATTTCGTTTTGTAACAAAGATGGGAAATTTATTATTATTGAGTATTTTGTGAAATTAGTATTTTGACAAGTTAACACTTGTCTTTGCGAGTTTGATTCCACAAATTTAAGTGAAATTCCCCTCAAATTTCACTTTAAATTTCGTTTTGTAACAAAGACGGGAAATTTACTTGCGTAAAATCTGGCGCGAAGTTTATTTAAATATAGTTTTTTCATAGTTTTTCTGTCTTGTTCAGGTTGGATACAAAAAATTCATAGTAATTAATTTTTAATGGATGATATCCTAATTAATTGATTAATTAGTGGCACTTACCGGGTCTTATTGGTGTCGGGCTCTGTGTAGGAGCTTCTGTAGTAGCCCTCCAGCTGGCGATTGAGTTCGCCGGAAAAGGGCATGGTCAGCTCGTAGATTTCGCCGGCATTGAGCTCATCGCACATGCGCATCACATAGAAATCGTGAGCCGTATTCACCTCGGTGGATGCAATGCAATTCTTTCGGTTGTCAATCGAGGTGTCTCTCAGTGTGATCTGCGATTGATTGATGGTCAGATTCTTGGCGTGCAGCGTTATGTTCCTTGTATTTTCCATCACTTCGAATTTGATTTTAACGCTGCCCTCGAAGCGTAGATTTTCCGGATCCTCCAGATGCGTTAAGACGCGCAAAACATATTTACGCGGTCGCAGCGCAGTCGGCAGCCGAAAATAATTGTAGCTCGACTCGGCCAGGGCCACGCCCAGCACGGCCCAGCTGGCCACCAGCAGCAAAAGCAGCCTCATGTTAACCCTGTGGAGCAACGACAACCAAAAAAAAATAGAAAAAGAAAACACATCAATCACCGAGCTGCTAATGTGGAGCGGAATGGAGCAATTAACTAAATCACTTGCTGAGCGAGAACTCAAATCAATTTATAAAGCAAGCCAAATGGAACGTAATCAAACCATTTATCGGTTCTCCTCACATCATTGAGGGTTGGGGTATATTCGATTCGTAAATCATTTTGTAATGCAGCGAAAATTAAAGTCGAATTACACTTATAAATAAATTCTCAAGTTAAATCAAGCTCAAGTCGAGACGAGACATTCGCTGTTCGGATCGGGTTGCTATATATCTATATATCAAACTATTTGTCCTGATTGACTTAATGACTGACTGATTGATTGACTGACTGAGTTACCTCTCGACGTCTCGACTTGACAAGTTTACGTCGACTTAATGGCAAACAGAGAAGAAATTTCTTAAAACTGCTCGGATCGGATTACTATATCTCTATATACTAAACTGTTTGTCCTGATTGACTGACTGACTGATAAAAAAATTCTTGAATTAACAGGCTGAAGTCGATTTATTGACAAACAGACGAAACATTTGTAAAAACTGGTCGGATCGGATTACTATATCTTTATATATAAAACTGTTTATCCTGATTGACTGAAGGACTGACTGACTGAAGGACTGACTAACTGAAGGACTGACTGACAGATTGACTGAGTAACCTTAACATTATGTTCGAGGTACAATCTAACACGGGGTTTTGAGAAATTCCACCAGCAAGGGCGGAAAAAAAGTGGAAAACGTTTTTACTGCAACTTTTTCGTTTTCCATCCGATCGAACTCATTCTCAAAACTCTAACTAAAAGGCTTAAGTTTTTTAAATCCCACTCAGAAAAGATAAATAAAAAATAAAGATAAAAGTTTATCTAACAATACGATTGGCCGATTGGGAAATGTTTTACTTTTCGCCAAACTCGTTCCCCTTCAATAGAAAATGCCAATTCGAGATTGGAGCAAAGTTTTGGGCTCAAATTAATTTCCAATCATATATATACCCGTTCAGTATCAAGAGCTGAGTCAAACTAGACGCACTTTTACAACAAGTACAGGGTATAAAAACTCCGTGCTTAGGGATCAAATATTTGCTTAAGAGAAATTAACACCATGAAGCTAAGTGAACTTTGCAATTGTGCGCAAGGGCATTAAATAAACGCCCGAATCGAATATAATAATTATTTTTATTGCCTTCTTTTATTTTTGTTAAAGTTAATGCAAATATTGTTGTTGGGCATCTTTTGGCATTTAGCCATGCGGCACACGTATTAAGGTCTGGGCCAATGGAACTTGAATTGAATGTACGTTTTTTTTTTCATTTGATTTTGCTGCCATGACGATTCTTATTATTATTATTATTATTGTTGCTGTTGTTGCTCTTGTTGTTGTTGTTATTAACACATAGTATTATTATGTAGATTGTGAGCAACTCTCAATTGTCGGCTGATTCACGTGCTTCGCATAGAGAGTCGCGATAATTGAGCTGAATTTCAAGCGCAGACTTTTATCTAAGTGCAGTCGCATCTGGTTTGTAAAGATTGTCAGCTGCAGCTGTATTACAATGCGGGGCTTAAGATACTTTCGAGCGGCAAGAGTTGCAAAGAGATTGTCCGAGAGATCGTTTATGGAGTATCTCTCGCATAAAGTGAACTGAACAAGAACAACAACTGGATATACTAGCTGAGAACCTACAACTCGTTTGCCCTACACTACTGTCTGTCTCTGTCTCTGTGTGTGTGTGTATCTGTGTGTGTATTTTATTTGTATCTTATTTGTATTTATGCAAAAGCTGTGTGGCATGCGTGGCTGTGTGTAGGTGCGGCCATTGAACTCTTGCTACAAGATATCCAGAACCTATACCTAGATTCAGTTCCATTTAAGCCTCAAGCCTTGCTTCGGTTGTGCATTGGAAACATTTTGAAAGTTTGTTTTGAAAGTCTTCATTTGACATATGTGAATGTATGTGTGCCGCATATACCAACAAGAACGTGGATAAAACTGACAATTTTATGTTTCATTTATTTTTTGAAAAAATATTTACGAAAAAGTGTGTTCCTTTGAAATTTATGAAGCTGTGTATATAGGAAGAACTTTAATTATTACATTAATTTTCTTCTTTTTCTTAAATAATAAAAAGCCTTTGATTCAAAAGTATTTCAAGTTATAAAGCCCTAAATTTCACGTCCTTAATTTTTTTTTAATTTTATCTGTGAATGTAATATTATTCATTTTTTTTTTAATTTTTTAAATAATTCAAAAGTATTAAAAATATTTTTTGAATATGAGTTTTTATAGAAAGAATTTGAACTGTATATTTTTTGTTTATTATCAATTATTTTGAATAATTTAAAAATCAAATTATCAAATTGATTGCACTACAGAAATATATATTAAAATTAACTTGATTTTTTTTCATATTTTTCTACATATAAAAGTCAATAATATAACCGTTTCGATAGACCCAAAATATTCAATTGTTAACCAAAAATATCTGTAGGAACATTCAATATGTATACATAAAGACAAAAGTTTTTGTACTATTTTCCTACTTTCAAACGGTTAAGAATTCGCAGCAAGATAAATACCGTAACCGTTACATAACCTTTTCAAATAAAACGATTTAAAAAGACTTTAAAATATTATTTTATAATTCGTTTATCGAATATGTAGAGCAATATATCAATGGAAAACTGCCATTATTAATTATATATATAAATTGTTGTGCACATAAATGTATTTTTTATGAGGACTCTACAAGAAATTTGAAATATTAATTTTATGTCAGCCTGCTGTTCAAAACTTATGCAATACAACCGATACATAACCGTTTCAAATAATAGCATTTCTGTGGATAATGTGAAAATTGCCATACATTAATATAGGCATATATAACCGATACATAACCGTTTCATATGTAACCGATTCATTCGATTCTATAGCGGTCTACTATCATTCAGGTGTAAAACGTGTTTCAATCTTTAAATGTTATTAGCTTTAACCGGTACATAACCGTTTCATATGTAACCGTTTCATTATATTCTGCAGCGCTCTACTGTCATTTGGGAATCTGAATAAACATGTCTTACAATCTTTAAATGTTATTAGGCTTTACCGATATATAACCGTTTCCTATGTAACTGTTTCATATGTAACCGTTTCATTCGATTCTATAGCGCTTTACTGTCATTTGGGAATTCAGGTGTAAAACATGTGTTTCAATCTTTAATTGATATTAGCCGTAACCGATACATAACCGTTTCAAATTGATTAACCGTTGCCGTGTCGCTAACCCAATGCCGATTTGTTGCACCGTTTCCAACTACGATGCGAGCAGATGACATTGACATATCAATTGAACCTGGACTCATGCCTACGAATATTATACAAGCACTCAATTGATTTGTATGAGTCTTTTTTTTATGCCAATAAATAAATACGAAATGTATGTATATTTAATTTACAATTGTGTTTTTGATACATTTCTAAACTGAGCTTATACTATATCACAATTATTGCTGGGCGTTTCGCGTGTCAAGCTAATTGTAATTATATGACACAAATCCCGCTGGGGCCATAGTTGAACAAAACGTAGTGAGAAATTGTTTATCAACGTTTTAAATAACAAACTTTTGTTTATGTCGGCAGTTTTTTTTTTCTGCTATTTCGTAATTGTTTTTAACTATTGGAACACACACATTGTTAAATATTTTATTGTTTCCCTGTTGAAGCCAAAACTCGTTTCGCTGCGTTGATAACTCAACGATTTAACACGTTCAGCCCATGCACTTGGCTGTATCTACAGACATACCTATATATATACGATATATATATATATATGTGTATATATATTTGATATTTGTAGTAAAAGTGTAACTAACCGAACCGCTAAGAGCAACTGTTTCCAAGACGCGAATGCTAGCCGTACGCTGGTCGGCGGCAATCTAAAGATTTTCGGAGCGTGGCGCTTCTATCTTATAGGCGCAACGCAGCACGCACACCAAAGCGCGTACACACACACACACACACACAGAGAGACACAGGCACACAGAGAGGCGCGTCGCTTTCAGAACTCGGAGCAACAGCAGGCGGCTTAAACGAGTCGAATTCGTGCTTCGGCGTCGGCGCAGTTCAAGCTCTTCAAGAACCTTTATCAAACGCACACACACACTCACGCACACTTATATAACAATAGAGTGTGTGTCACACACATACATACACTCGCACACACACACACACACAGGCACAGCCGCACAGCGGGCAGCTAGCTTGCAGTATCTAATGGCAGGGCTTACGCGGCGTATGCGCAATTTCTGAATTTTAATGCACACTCACACGCGCACACACACACGCGCACACACACAGAGTCGCAACACAGCTTGAGGATGCCACATGGTGGCATGTTGTTGACGCCAACGTGTTTTTGACCTTAATTGCGCTGATTAACCCGTTTTTCGCAGCAAGCCACCCAAAATCCACCCCAACCCCCCCCCCGCGCACCCGCACCCGCACCCCCTTCCACAAAAGGCAGCAGATAACTGTAGACAACACGCACAGCGTGCAGCATTTTGGCACCCTGCAGCTGTAATTGCCAAAGTGCGATGTGTCTTACAGCCAGAGCCAGCCCCCCTCCCCCCTCTCCCCCCCCCACCGCCCATCCAACGGCTGCAAGTAATGCCCACACTTGACGAATAAAGAAAACTATTTTTGCTTTATCCAACATTTTAGTCACTGTCACAAATTCTTAAGCTTTAAATTATGCATTTATCGCTTAAAAATTCAAAGGGCCCTTTTTTAAAAAGAATCTTTTTGAGCGCTGGACTTCCAATGTCCCATTTAAAAACTATGTAAAAACAAAAATTAATTTAAATAAATATAAATCTGTTTCAAAACTTAGTTCATTATTTTTTTAAATAACTATGCAATTTATCATATATGTTTTTCTTAAGTTATGTTAATGTTGGATAGTTCTATTACAGACAGAAAGAACCAAGGTGCGAAACTTGGATAAAGAGCTGTAGGAAATCTGGTACACGAACCGAACCTGAACGCAGGGTCTCGATCTGTGAACCAAACGTACATATTCTGTTGTGTTTGTAGCCCTGGTTTAAACCGTTTTTGCAACCTTGGTTCAAACCATTTAAAAAAGTCAAATATTTTTGAAATCTTGACAAGTTTTTCTCTGAGTGTAACTGTGCCAAGTCTTGCTTGCGTCATTTTAATGTCACACTGCTCGGAAATGAAAGGGTTTTGGACGCAACGCACGTTGCCCCAAATGCAAGTGGGTGGCATTCAGATGTGATTGCACTTAGAATTTGAGTGCTTAGCTTGAGAGGCGGGCGCCGAGGGAAGGGGGGACAACCAGCTCTGAGCAGCACTTAAGCTTTGCGGTAATTGCCACAAATGCTAATTGCACCATTTGCTTATATCTGCTGTCACAGGGAATTAAGCAAATGGTTGCCACGGAACTGGCCACAAAGTCTCACCCAGCCCTTCGCCAAGCCCTAATCAGCAAATAAATAATTAAAAGAACTGCACAACTTATCGTATGGTAGACAGGTAGAAATTGACAATAATTTATAGACACATATTTCAAAGCGATATTTAATATATTTAATAATAGTTTTTGACGGCACATTCATAAAATTCCACCCTTCTAGCTTTAATATCCCATGTTTCCTAACTCTCCTTAAAGCTACCTTACATTTTTAAAGATCTTCTAAAAGAAAATTAAATATTCGTCTTTTAAAAAAGCATATTTACCCAACTCGACACACACAGAATCAATAAAAAACACAAATTTGTAAAGTTTAAAAACCCGAGAATTTCAAAAAATTAACGGCCCTTTGAGTTGGCGCCATCTAGTTTACATTTTCTGTTCACTACCCTGCCTGTGTTTGGGTGCAGCCAACTTCACTTAACTATTCAAGACGCTGTGCAGACAGAAACCACGCAGGTCGCTTACAGTTACGGCTTCCCAGCTTAACATTAAGCTGTTAACGTAGCCAAGACACACTCCAAAGTGGCTCTTGTTAAATGCTTGCAGCAATTTTGTCTGCCATCTGGCATCATTCTGCATTTTGGCGCCAAAATCAAATTGAAACATTTTTTATCATATTTACAATTGCCAGCTATCCAATTTAACGAAAAATAATAAAATGCATTTAGTTTTCAGTTCAGGGTTTGTGATTTATATTTAAAATGTACGTCTTTGTTCAATAATATTGCCTTTTTTTGATGCAAAAATAAGCTTTGCTTAAAATAATCATTATATAATAAGTGGATGTTTCTTTTGTGGGGTCAAGGGGTTAAGGGTGGGCGAAGGGCTTTGTTTTACATAAAAATAAACAAATAATAAGCGTAAATTGTACCTAACACAAGTTTTCAACTTTCAACTCTTATGCTTAAAATAATTAAGATATTAATGTATGTGTGTGTGTCTGTTTGTGTGTGTGTATGATGATTGTGTGTGTGTGTGTGTGTGTTTTAGCCATTTTCTGTTTTGAGCTTACGAACTAGTGCGGGCGCGGGGTCTACGGAGGGGGGCCGCTTAAATTTGTATGACATTTAATTCTCATTTTAGATTATAATGCACATTTTTGTTACGTTAAAAAATTCAAACTAAAGCTCTAATAAATTGAACTAAATCGAGAATTTTTACATAAAACAATTAAACAAAAATCGATCAAAGAAAAACGAACTTAAAGAATGAGTCAAGGGAACAAAATGTTACAGTTTTAAATGTACATGTGAATGTGTGTGTGTGTGTGTGTGTGTGTGTAGGGGTGAGTGTAAGTGTGTGTGTGTGTGTGTGTGTATTATAATTAAGTCTTAGGGGCTACTAAAATTAACAAACGAAAATCAACAAAATCAACTTAAAATTTTCTCATTAAAATGAAATAAATACCCAGCTTTTGTTTTTGTTTTTTCTATGTACAAATAAAGGTTGTTTTTTGTTTTTTTTTTTTTTTTGGCGTTGCCACCCTCCCGCGAATTTCAGAGAATTTACAGCATGAGCCGCGAACGGGACTTCTTGATGCGGCCCGTGCCGGCGCCGCCGCAACCGTCGCCATTCCAGGACTTGGATTTGGCACGAAAATGGCGATAGGCCTCATTATAGGCCGGCTCCAGCATGGGCCGATACGCATTCGGCTGGCAGAGTTCCGGCTGCGTTTCGTAGAACTCTTTGTAGCCATTGTGCAGTAAATAGATTTCCGGATAATGGAGCGCCGGATACGCATGCGTATTGCGCTCCCGATCCAGATTGCGTAAGAAACGCGACATTTTTGGGCCACGCTCCGAGGAGAATTCACAATGAAAGATGATTATGTGACGCTTGTTGCCGGCAACGGCAGTTTGCTGCTGCTGCAGCTCAGTCTGTGCGGCGCTGAGAAACTCCTCGAGGATCTGCTCGTGGGTATAGAGATTCTTGGCACCGCGTATATGGCCGCCCTCAAACTCGTACGGATAGCGGCAGTCGATGATCCGGTAGCTGGCCACCTGATCCTCAAAATCACCGTTAAGCAGCTGGGCCACCGTTTCGCTAGAGATCGACTTGAGATCCCGATGCCGTCCCTCCATCAGGGGCAGGGCATACGCTTTGCTGAAATCCCCAATCAGTTGCGGCTCATTGCGATTCTCGGAGCGCGCCAGGGCGGACATGATCTCTGCATCATTTAGCGACATACATTTGCGCAAGGGCGGCGCATGGGCGTGGCCAATGTTGCTGGTGCTGCTAGCGGGCGGATTGATGGCGGCTGGATTGGGGCAGTTCTCCTTCTCGACGCAACGGTGACGCTTGCTTTGGATGGGCGAGCAGCTGGCCGATGCGGGCGGTTCGGGACGCTTGAAGCAGTCCCTGGCAGTCTCTGGCGTCTTTGGTTGCTGTTGTTGGTGTTGTTGTATTAATAGCTGATTGCTATTCGTCTCTGTCATGCTGAGGCAGCGGCGCACCGAGGGACGTCGCATCATGATGCTCAACGCTTCCGGGGATTTGGGCGTCACCTTGATTTGACCGCTAATCAGCGAATTTAGCCCGCTGGGCATGGCAAGCGCTGGCGGTGCCTGCTGTATGCCAGCAAAGGATTCCATTTCGAAGAGCTCCATGTACTCATCGTCCATGGAGGAGGACTCCATGGAGCCCGTCGAGGAGAGGCTGTTGAATATGCGAAAGCTGCGCGCAGGCGTTGCAGCGCTGCTCGCTGCCGCCGCCGCCGCCGCTGCTGGCGCCAACTGCTGCTGCGGCAGCTTGGGCTGGCGCACAATTTGAAAACGCTGCGGCGAACCCTCCGGCGAGAGCAGACCGAGCAGCGCCGGACTAACCGAACGCTGCGACGGCAACGGCAAAGCGTGCACGTCATCGTCATAGAACGAAAGCTCCTCCTCAGCATCCATGGGCATCAGCATGTTGTTGCTGTTGCTGTTGTTGTTGTTGCTGTTGTTGGTCAGCGCACGGCGAACGCGGCGACTGGAGCTGTTTTTGTTTAAATTGCTGCAAGACAGAAGGAAGGAGAGAAAGAGAGAGAGAGAGAGGGGGAGGATTAGTCAACTGTATTTCGTATGCTTCCTGCTGCTGGTTGTGCTGCCTAAACTGTGGCGGGTCATTAAACCCGCAGCTAAAAATATGCGACGGCGGCGGCGTCGGTGGTGTAAAACAACAACAACAGCAACAAAAACGCGAAGAAGAAGCAGCAGCAACGTCGAGGGGTTGCTGCGCTCAATTCCCGTTCTTGTTGTTGTTGTTGCTGTCCCTCTTTCGCTTGTAATTTTCGTAAATAAGGAAATTTGAATTAGAACTTGAAGAGTGCCCTGCCTCGTTGCGCCTTTTTGCGGTACTCTAAGCGGAATTTCCCTTTTGCACGCGTTCCGCTCGAGCTGCGGTCAAATGCATCTGCACTTTTGACGACTTTTTGGGTCACGCAAGGCAGAACCGCAAGCAGCAAAGCAGCAGCAAAAGACGAAGACGCAACAACAATACAAACACAGGCAAGAACATTGCAATCGGCTGTAACCAACTGCGCCATGCTCTGTGTGCTAAGTGCTTCAAAACTGTAAGCCCTAGACAGTGTCTATCAAACTATTATTGGCAAGTCAATTTATGGGGCGTGTCCAAAGTATCTTTGAAGTAACACATTAGTTAGACACCTGCTGAATTTGTTGACCAGCTCTAAAAAATATAATTTATTGGCCCCAAAAATATACTCTTTTTCACTTTAAGAACAGAGTACAAACTTTTGCTGTTGTTATTTTCTTTGGAGCTGTGCGAGCTTCGCGGAAGCCGGTTTAATGAATGAAAAAGCAACAATAACAACAGCTGAGCGCCACAGCCAAAAAAAAAAACGTGTCGTTCGCTCGTGTGGAGCGTGCAAAAAATAATGAGAAAAAACATTTTACTCTTACTTTTGTTCAACTGTAAAACAAGCAGCGCAGTCGACAGCGCAGCAGCGAACGCTTTGCGGCTTCTTCTGCTCAGTGCCGTTGTTCACAAATTTGCTTTTGTATGTGTGTGAGCGCTTTGTTGTTGTTGTTGTCGGTGCTGTTCAAGTTCAAGCACGACGCTTTTGTTGTTGAAATTTACTTGCACTTTTATTTTATTACATTAGCTATACTATCTTCCTATGCGTTTTATGCTCCAATTAATACGCTTTTATCTAGTTCTTTTTTGCCTTGCTTTGTAATAATTACCTGATATTGCAATCCATCGTGCAGTTGTTCTCTTCGGCAATTGTTTCCCACAGCATTTTGTATTATTGAATTTATTTGTTTGCAGAAGATGTAAAAATGATTTAGCTATTTTGATTGTAGATTTCCAACGCGTGAATTTTTAGCGTTTTTTTTTCTTCTTCTGAAAATTGCTAAAACACAATTTTCGCACGTTTCTTTTGCTGGCACATTTACAGTTAGTTTATTAGTTCGTTTCGTTTTCGTTAGTTGCGGCTTTGCACTTTGTAGTCCTTCGTTGAGTTTTTTGTTGTTGTTGCATTTGTAAACCGTATTTGTTAAAAACTAATATTGCATTTGTTGTTGCATATTTCTTTTTTGGAGTTTTGCATTATTGTGTCCGTTTAAACATTGTTGCATTTGTTTGTAGTTTCACGTACTTTGTGAGTTCTTTGTGTGCTGCGTTTTGTATTAATATTTTATATCCCAATCGTTTTAACACAAACACACACACAAGTTTACTGCACTACCGTACGAGTGGCAGAGAGAGGGAGAGCAGCTCGAGGCGCAGATGTTGACACGACGACGAACAGAAAACAAATGTAGTTCTCGAGCCGAGCGCAGCTGGTTTTAAAGAGCGGCGGCCGTGTATGCAACCCCCGCTGCCGGCAAGCCGCTGTCGACGTCGCTGCTCTTTTGTGCGAGCAGCAGCAAGTATAACGGCAGGAGCAGGAGCAGGAATTGAAGCAGCAGTGAGAGCAGGAGCGAGGCTAGGCGGTTAGGAGCGGGAGCAGCAGCTACATATGTATTGAACAGTTTTCCATTTGCCATATCCCTATTCCAATAACAAATATCAAGGGGCGAACTAGGATAGAAGAAGTCGGAAAATCTGTGCAGTTGGAGCGAACGATCACTGGCCAGTGCCTGTGCAACAGGTAGCGCTCATCAATTTCCCCTACCCGATGCGCGGCCGGAGCACAATTGAAGGCGCAAATTTTGGCGCGCGAGCTTTTATAGCGCGAAGCGCGTCGTCGCCGACGCTGAGCGCCAAACCGATAGCCGAGTGGGCCCTGATTGGGGGCCGAGCGACGATTCGTGTGGAGGCCGAAGCAAGAAAAAACACATGTGATTTACGTTGCAATCGAATGGCTGGAACCAGAGCCTGGAGCCAGCGGCCGCCTCAGCCTGCGTCTTCGGGCAACGTGCAAATCTTTAAGCAGAATTTCAGAAGCAGAAGCAGACGCAGACGACGACGGCGACGACGACGACGATGGCATCGACTGAGCGGCATCGATTGTGTCGTTCGCAGGTAACAATGTGAGATCCACGCATTCCGTGACGCCTGCACGCCCAGTCGTCCCCCTTGGACCCCAAAGCGTACATCAGCAGGTAGTCGTTGTGCCAGGTCCCAGTCATATGATCGACACAGTGCTCTTTGGGGGAGGTGGTGCGGGGCGTGGCTCTTTTGTGTTTTGCAGACGTAGACGCCAATGTCGTTAAATGAGCAGAGGTCCATGCATGTGTGTGAGCGTGTATGTGCGTGTGCGTGTGTGTGCGTTTGAGTGTGTGTGGGCAGTTGCGGCAAAGTTAAAGCAAAAATCGAGTTACATATGCGCGCATGGATGTGTGTGTGTGCAGGCCCTGCGGGAGTCGCGTCGTGCATGGCAGGGGAAACGGTGGGGGCACCCATGGGTATAGCAATGCCAGCCAAGTGCTGCTTGTAAAGACTTGGCGAATTCCTCCGCGGCAGGCAAATCCACAGCAAACAGCGCAATGTACAACAAGCATAAGAAACAACTAAATTGGACGGCGACCATGCGGCGACATCATTTATAAAAACTATCATGCGAATCATATGGGCAAGGCAAATGATTTGAGCTGGTGTTGCCAGCCGCTGCAAAATGCGCTCAAAGCTAAATGAGCTACGGTTTCATTCTCTTGAATTGCTTTTGTGCTGCTGCAGGAAGAGGATCATCTTTTTGAAAGAATAAACAACAAACTAAAAGGACGCAGAAATCATAAAGTGGTTTTGAACAAGTTAAAAAACATGCGGCAAAGAAAAAAAAAAGCTCAAACTCATTCATAGTGCGACACAGTGGGCTGAACATGCGAGACTGTTGGCCAAATTAGATGGTTACCTTCGTAATACATATGTATATCTTACATAAGAAGATGCTTATGAACAATTTTAAAATGTGCATGTGATTGTATTCCCATTTTAACTACATGTCATATGTCGTCGTTTTAATTGGTTTGCTCACTTTCGATAAGCACATGAATGCAATAGATCACACACCACGGTGCGGCGACACAGATGAAGACAGAACACAAAAAGGGCAAACAGAAATCAAAAATGTATGCAAAAAACTCACTCACACACTAATGCAGCGAGTGAATTTGATTGCGAGCAGGGAATAGGCGGCACACTAATACAAGCAGCGAACACTATGAAATTGCAGAAACAACGTGAATGGGAATGGAGCACAACAATAGCAGCGGGAGCAGCAACAGCAAATAAACTCCCAAAAAAAAAAGAGAAGTGGAATGAACAACGTGAAGAACTAAATTGTAAATCGAAATTCCAAGAAGTGAGGTCTGAGATTTGGTCGGTTTTTATTTTTTAAGCGCCTGATGTCGACGGCGACATACAAAAAAAAGTGTGCAAAAAAGCGTTTGAGATACTTTTACGCGCGCGCGCGAAAGCCAACCAGTGCGAGGGGCGTGGCGGGCAGAAATTGTGTGTACGCGAGTGTGTGTGTGTGTGTGTGGCATTTAGGGCTTGTGCATACAAAAGGTATCGCATGGAGTCCACGGGGAGGCAAAGACGTGCAATTAGTGTGCAATAGGTAAGTTATGAGCATTTCATCCATTTGCATATTATCTGCGTGTACGTGTGTATGCGTGCATATAAATTAAAGCGTATGTACAGTGAAAGCCCTCTTGAGCGAACACCCACGCGTGAAAGAGATGTCAAAGAATGAACACAAAAATTCACAAATTTTAAGCATAGTTATATATTTACTCTTATTTATCTTCATGTTCCTATACTTTTCTATCTTGAATCTACTGTTGCCCTTTTATTTTAAAGTCCAATTGTGGTACATGTAATTCTTTTGCTTAACATGAGCTTTTACTGTATGTGTGCAAGAAGTCTCCAATGGCAGCCAAAAGCTATGCCAAATTTGAATTGGAGATTGACAAAGGTGTTGACAGGCGGTTGGCATTGAAGGTATTTGAACTTCGTACGGAATTTGGGCCGGATCGAGACCATGTGATCGAGCGCCCCGAATTGTAGGGGAAATCGAAGAATGTACATAAGAAGCAGCGTAACATAGACAAATGCTGATCAGAATGAATGCCCACACACACACACACATACACATACATATATACACAAACAGTTAGAAAAGGATAGGTGCGCGGGGAATGACCCTCGGTCCCGTTTCGGTTCCTATACACAATCCTGTTCCTTGCAGGCCTCTGCCAGCTATACTACAGGGTACATATGTTCAATCAGCTGATCGTACGTAGCCCGAAGGACATGCACACAGCAGAGCAGAGAATTAGTCCTGCTGTTCTGTGGTATGTGTGTGACACGAGCAGGAGGAGAGGCACGGGGAACGAGCACAACGCGCGCGCAAAATTCCTTAACACGAGCCCAACAACAAAAACAAATCTTAGTGTGTGTGTGTGTTTGTGTTTGTGTGTGTGTGTGTACAAGACGTAGCAGGGGGGGCGCTGAGATTTCTTGCACTCGCCGATGTGCATTGGTCAGGCAAAGCGAAGAAGTAGGTGAAGAGCGCTCGAGCGCTCGGAAGAAGTGTACAAAGAGGAAACGCGTTTTGATTTTAGCGCCAAAATATGCTGTTGCTGTATATGTGTGTCAGTGTGAGCGCAGTGCGAGAGTGTGTGCAGGATTCGTCTACTTGGCAGTGATGCCACAATATTAAAAGGCGCAAACAGCTAAATAATTTAAAACAAATTTAAATTATTATTAGGATAGGTTGGGTGGTCCGATTTTGTATGTACTGTACGGTGCCTCAAAACATTTTGTACTGGTTGCTAATAATATACTCATTTGCAACTTTTTGGAGGTTGTTGATATGTTAGGATCATAGTAATGGCTAAGTAAAGCAACAAAAAGAAAACAATACAATACGACTTAGTGAAAATTTAAAGCCTAAAGTATGCACTTTGTATTATGTATGACCTTCCGAGAAGTTCAAATGTACATATATTTTCTATGTATATATAATTTTTTTTAATACAAATTTCTAATGGGCTTACGAGTTTTTATAAACATCAAAAAAAGTTCAAATAAATGATAACAAAAATATCCATCTAGGATTAAAGTAGTCATATTTCTCTAAAAACATTTTCTAGAATTCCGCAGCTAGTGCGCTTTTAAAAAGCTAGAAATAGCTATATGGCAGCTAAGATGGCAACTCTGCTGCAGAGAGTAGCGCGATCTATACATATGTATGTATATATGAATGTATGATTATGTACATATGTATGTATGTTAATACATGTGCATTTTGTGTGGCCGTCTGCGAGGCTGTTTATCTTTGAGCTCTGCTGCAGTCGCTGCTGTGATTTCTTGCAGTCTTTGTCGCTCCTCTGATTATGTGCAATGTTGTTGTTGCTGCTGCTGTTGTTGTTGTTGTTGTTTTTGTTGCCGTTCGACGTTTGTCTTTTTGCCTCCGCCGCGTTTTGTTGTTGCTATTTTATGTTTCCTTCGCCGCCTTGCACCGTATTCTTTAGCTCCTTGTTCGCCTTGTCTACAAGCTGATTGTGAGAAATATTTTTCGTTACTTGACTTTTTGCTGTGCGTGCTCCTTCTGTCTGTCCTCTATCCTCCGTCCATTGGCGGCCACTCGATCCCACAGTCACAACTCGCGCTGTCCCCTCCCTCCTCCCGCTGTGCCACCCCCCGCGCTGTCTGCCGCAGCTCCATTTCCTCGCACACACTAATTGATTCTCTGCATAAATTTTATTTAAAGCTTTAATAAATGTCAAAATAAGCAATTCATTTCGATGTTAGAGAACGCATCCATTCCCGCACACTCACACGTCACATTCACAAAACACTCACCACATTTACATTCACATTCACATCACATTCACCAAATGAAGCTTTCTCTGTGGCAATCAATTGCCGGGTTCAGAGTTTAAATGTGCTGCTGCTGAAGATGCGCAGCCCAAGACAAGCAATTCTTATACATATATGTATGTATGTAAACATTGTACAGGCATATGTATGTACATATGTAAATATGAACATATGTATATTCTGCATCCAGAGATTGTGTGTTACGTGACGTTACAAGCCCTGTAAATTTCTTGGGAGCGAGTTGTATGCGATTTTTATAGATTTCATTAAGAAAAACCTTATGGAGTTTTGTTAGTATTGGAATTAATGGGAATGTGAAATATTAAATACCCTTGCAGATCAAATAACACCCAATCGAAGGTCTTTTCGTACAATTTCTGTTTCATCCGATTGTTCCTATGAGAGCTATATCAAATAGTGTTCCAATTCTCTGAGAGAGAAGCTCGCTATTTCCGAGTTTGGTTATCTTAAAAATCAGATTAAATTAAATAGATCAGATTAATTAAATAATAAATTAAATACATAATTAAAAACAATTTTTCACACAGATATATGATATATATATTTCACAATATTATATGATATAGATATTGGATTATACCGAAAAATTTACT